CCATGATGGGTAACCCACTGGGAAGTTCTCGTGTGAGTTCCTAGAAACAAAACCGTGAGGGTGTGCTAGGGGCCCAAAGCGGACAATATCGTGTTATGGTGGAGTTGGGCCAGGAAGTGATCCCGCCCGGGCCGGGATGTGACACCTACTTGGATCCAAGGCGAGCATGTGGTGCAAAAGTGAACATACATGTGAAATACGAGCCTTGGTCCTGGGTGAGCACTAACACCAGGGTGCAACAATAATGAGCATACTACATGCATAAATATAAACATGCCATAACCATTCAATAATTCTAGTCAACATAATAAACATACAAGTGCATCCCGTAGGATTATTTTGGCATTTCACAGCAATATAACATTTCTTATAATATATTTAATCATGACATAATAGGCGTAATATCAATCTAAAAACAATAGTGGCATGATATGCATAAATCAATTCAAAGCATTTGTGGAAATTATAAGGTTTATATATATATATATATATATATATATATATATATATACGAAAACAAAATGCCCACTCACTAATATGTGGTCGGATCATAGCCTCCTAACCTCGTTTGACCTCATGCGTCTTTAGGATAATTTTCACTTATATGTGAAATAACTAAACTAATAAATTAAATAGGACATATTAAAAAAGGCTAGGTAAATCTCCCATATTTTGCTCAAACAAAAGGTTTGAATATATGAAAATGATCTACACGAAGTCACAGATCCGTACGTGTCAAGCACTCGCCGGCTAGCCCAAGGCCACACGCGCCCCCACACGCAGGCCACACACATGACAGAGACTAACGGACGTTAGGAATATTCCGTCAGAATTGACAGAATATTTCGTTAAATAGTAACAATGTTACCTGACGTCGTTAGAATATTCCGTCAACTTTGACAAAATATTCTTCGTCTTCTCCGATGAGCCTCGCTGTCCGCCGCAGTCTAGTTCGCCAGACACTGGGAAAAATTTCAAAGCTTTATATTTTCTTCATTTCTCAACCATTTTTGATGCACTTTATATGAAAATGAAGCTTATGAAGAGTAGAACAAGATTGTAACTTTCAAAAGTCCAAAAATGTATGGGAAATGGTTTGAAAAAGCCTCGAAAGGTTCGGCCTAAACTTCTACTCCTCGAACTCGCTTGTTTCGATGTCAACTCGATTCCAAACTTAGTTTAGAGACCCTAGGGGGTTGTGTAGAAGCTTCCCCACGTCCTACCTTGTAACTCTGCCTGAAACTCATTGGAGGAAAACTCACTGAGTCATACCTTATGAGTTAACTGGTCAAAACTGGATCATTTCACCATCGGCTGGTATGGCTAGGTTCATAGGTTCAAGAGGAGTACAATGGTGGAGTTTGTGAGCTCGATCTGAGAGATTTGGTGTTTGTTTAAGGGAGTTACAGAGAGAAGAGAGGTTACGGGGTGAGAGAGAAAAGAGAGAAAGAATGTGTGTGTTCTTATTCGGGGAGAGATGTGAGGAGTGGGTTCTCTGATTGGTGAGGGAATTGTGGAGAGATGTTGATTGGTGAAGAGTGACATAAGGGAAAAGGATTGGTTGTGAGGGTTTTAGGGCACACGAGACAATTTTTAAAAGTAGAAAATGATAAGGTTTTCAGATTTTGGTACAATAAGTCATACGCAAAAATCCGTCTCCTTATCAAAAACAGTGTTTCCAACACTAATAAATTAGCACACACGCATGCACAATTCTACCCGTTGTTAACATACTTTGACTAAGCGTAATTTTTTCGTTACAAGTCCGCTTCAGGTCTAATTCGCGCTTACGTGATCATAACGACTAGTACTATTTAATTACGCTACTAGGAAAATAAAATAAGTGTTGAATACTACATTCACATCACATTGCCAACCAGGGCAGAAATGTCAATTTACACACTCGAGAAGAAATTACATAGAAAATTAGGGATGGGTCATCACACATATATATATATATTATATTTATTATTGAAGTCTCTGGAAAATGATCATCTCTGGATCTCTTCCACCAAAGCCTGCGGATCAAGTGATCTGGGCCCTTGAAATTTGATCCAACGACTAAAAACAGAGAGCACTTTTAAAAGTAATAATAATTTTAGCCGTTGAATCAAATTTCAAGGGCCCATATCACTTGATCCACGGGTTTTGGTGGAAGAGATATGGAGAGGATCTCTTTCCGAAATCTCTAACAACTGCACACCAACTAATCATGTTTGTAGTTTGTACCAACTGGTATAGGCGAGATTGGGCTTGGTAGGAGCATTACCGGAGGTAGGCAGAGTGGTTGCAAGGGTAACATTCAATCCGTCAACAAACTAAAATAAGTTATGGCCAACTAAGAAGGGTTTCATTTGACAAGTCCAAAGAAAATAGTTGGACTCTATGAATTTAAGAAAGTGACCAATATTGGACCCTAAGAAGATGAGCCATCAAAGGTAGAGGAAGAAGAGCCTTCGGATGAGCCAACAATAATGAGGAAGTTGTGGGGAAGATGACAAGAGGAAAGAAACTTGCTAGGGTTGGCAGTAGAGGGAAAGGAGCCGAGAGGGGAAAAAAATAGGGCTAGTATAATAACCTAAACGATCGATACCATATAAAAACTTTAAATCAATTCTTAAAGGGAAGATTAATATAAAAAAAAATTCTTAAAGGAAAGGAGAATATTAAAAAAAAAATTTTTAAAGGAAATGAAACTCCAAATTCAAATCTCCTTTCCACACACAATTAGAGAAAATTAACAAAAAAATAAAGCTAGTAGTAGGGCGAAGGGGCCAGAGAGGAAAAAAATAGGGCCAGTATAATAACCTAAACGACTGATACCATATAAAAACTTTAAATCGATTCTTAAAGGGAAGATTAATAAATAAATAAAAAAGGGTAAATTACATAGTATCCCCTCAGATTTGAGATCTATTATAACCTCATACAACAACTTTAAAACATTTCAATTTCATACATTTACTTATCATTTTATTTTAATTTCATACTTATCATTTTATTTTAATTTCATACATTCGTGAGAAAATCCGTTAAGTGATGACGTGACAAATATAAGGTGCTGATATGGTTGCCAACTTTGCATCAAGTAAATAAAAAATAATAAAAAAGGATTAGTCATTTAAAAAACCATTTTTTAATAATTAAAAACTTTAAAGAATGAAAAAGAGGATCTGGGTTAAAGGATTTTGGCCTTCTTCGTCCCCAATATCATCACCACAACCCGACGGAAAAAGAGGTCTTCGATGCCGTACTTGTCTGCTAACTACGCTTCCAATTACCACCACAACAACCCGAGATCTCACAACTCGCGGCGTAGCTTGGTCGATTACGTCACTCCGAGTTCGATCTCGACACGACTCAGCAGATCAAGAGGCTGATTTGGCGACAGGGCATGACCCATTTCAGCCTCAATGCCTCGATTTCGTCCGACGAGGTAGATGTGGACAACCCCCGTGCCTCGATGTTCCCGCGCTGAAGCTCTATGCAATTTGTGACTGACGAGGTCGCGACAGACTCGCCAAAGACAGTTTTTGACGGCGAAAAGCCGTAGCGGTGCAAAAGGCTACCGAAGCTGTCGTGGCGGCATCTTCTGCGATGAAAGAAGTCGATGAGGCGGGAGAACATATGGGAAATGATGCATAGTCGACAGAGACAGGTGCGGCATCGAGGACGGGAGAGCCGGTGAGGTTACCGTTGATGAACTTGTTGGAGACGGACTACCAGATGGGGATGGAGGCGGTGACGGAAGATTCTTGTTGCATACAAGCACAGAGCAGATGGGGATGGAATATAGGAGGAGATGGGGTTATTGGGGATGGGTGAATGCGGCTGGGGATGGGGAAGACGTGGGTTTTAGGGTTTTTTTTTTTTTTTTTTTTTTTTTTTTTTTTTAAATACTTTTTTTAATTAATTATTTTTAAATTCATAAAAAAAAAAAATTTTCTGCCACGGCACAAATGTGGCAGCCAACCACTTGACATAAATGTGGCAGTTGCGGTAGCTCTTAACGGAACAATAGATGAAAAATCTAGCAGAGATATTATTTTGAAATAAAATGGTACATGAGGTATAAAAGTGAAATGTTTTAAAGATATTGTATGAGGTTGTAATAAACTTTAAACCTAAACGGGTACTATGTAATTTACCCAAAAAAAAATTTTCTTAAAGGAAAGGAGAATCCAAATTCGAATCCCCTTTCCACACACAATTAGAGAAAATTAACAAAAAAATAGGGTTGGTAGCAGAGGGAAGGGGATCGAAAGAGGAAAAAAAATAGGACCAGTATAATAACCTAAACAACTGATACCATATGAACACTTTAAATCAATTCTTAAAGGGAAGATTAGTAAAAAAAAATATTCTTAAGGGAAAGGAGAATCCAAATTCGAATCCCCTTTCCACACACAATTAGAGAAAATTAACAAAAAAAAAGGGTTGGTAGCAGAGGGAAGAGGGCTGAGAGAGGATAAAAATAAGACCAATATAATAACTTAAATGACTGATACCATATAAAAACTTTAAATCAATTTTTAAAGTGAATCTTAACGAAACACTTATGTTACTGTTTACTTTTAATGTTAAGGACATTTTAACTCTAAAAAGTCATTCCTGATACTATTCACTCACAACACTTTTTTGTCATTTTGATTAAAACTCAAAGTTTTATAACTATTTTCGTTAGTTTTCCTATCCTTTTAAAGGGAAGATTAATTAAAAAAAAATATTCTTAAAGGAAAGAAGAATATATATAAAAATATTCTTAAAGGAAATGAGAATCCAAATTCGAATCCCCTTTCCACGCACAATTAGAGAAAATTAACAAAAAATTATAGTGCTGCAAAATATAATAATCTCCCAAACTATTAACGGTAATTTAAAGTTACCCTCTGTTTGCATTATTTGCAGCCACCAAAAGTGTGACGGCGGCTATAAGTTCGTTGATATTATGTCATAAATACAGCACTCACAGAGACAATAATTCCCTAACAAAACACTATCAAAGTCTTATCATAGTATAAACAAAGAGGGAAGATAATTTAACCTCAAAGATTTCACCTTAATTAAATCATCATCCGAATTATCCTCACCACCAACTTTGGTTTTTTTCTCACAACGTCATCAGACGGTCCAACTACTCCACTCTTCCGCTGCCAAAAACATCAAAGTTCTGATCCAACACTCAAAATCCTCAGTCCAATTCCTCTGAAAATTCCCCGAAAATCATGTCCTCCTTGTTCCTGATCCTGTTTATAATCTCCCATTCCCTCTGTGTTTTTGTCAATTCAGCCGGCGAAGTCAACGACTCTCTGACGTTGTTATGGCCGCTGCCGGCCGAGTTCACCTTCGGGAACAAGACCCTCTCCGTCGACCCGGCGCTCTCGCTGGTTGTTGGCGGGAACGGCGGCGGCTCCGGCATTCTGAAGTTGGGTTTTGATCGGTACAGAGAGATTGTATTCAAGAACAATCATGGGGTTTTAGCTTTGAATACACTGGGGGGAAGTAGACAGAGTTATGATATTAGTAAGCTGAGAATTGTGGTTGAATCGGCCGACGAAGATGTGAGTTGGGTTTTTGCTGAAATTTGTAATTTGTTTCTGTTTTTGGGGAAATGATTGTGGGTTTTGGGTTTTGATTGTGTGTTTTGTGTTTGTTTGTAGCTTCAACTTGGTGTGGATGAGAGCTATACTTTGTTTTTGGTGAAGAATGATGGCAAATCGATTGTTGGTGAGGCGACGATCGAGGTAAATTGATGATTGGATGTTGCGGTTTTTCGATTATTTCGTGTTTGATGGCCATTTGAATCGGAAAAAGATGATAATTTGTTGAGCATTTGAAAGATTAAATGGTTAATGCTGCATTACCATGTCCCGAAAATCTTAAGCTTGAACGGGGACCAATGCATATAAAGCAGAACACATATTGCTGTCCCCGCTTGCATTGACTGCACTGCATGGGGTTAACAGACGACTAGGGTTTTGAACCGTGGAATTGGAACTCTTGTACCATGTTAGACCATTGTGTATTGCAGTTCTGTAGTATATCCTGTGGCTTTGACTAGTATAGGACGATAGGTTGCATTAAGATCATAATCAATTAATCATGACTTACATTTTAGATTAATTGAATACCAAAATAATGGTATGGTTGTGCTGTAGCTCTGCGGATGTTGATTTTTGCTCCCATTTTGGTTGCAGGCGAACACTGTGTATGGTGCTCTGCGGGCTTTGGAGGTATGTATGCTTTTTGCTAATTTCATTACGAATTAGGCATGTCCATGTACACGCTCAAGTACATAAACAAGTGTGTTTTCTTTCATTGTGAATTGGACATGTTCATGTACATAAATAAGAGTGTTGCCTTTCACTGTGAACTGGACTGCAACATGACTTCCAATAAGGAAAGCGAGGGAGTGGTGGTGAAAAGCTAATCCATTATCATCCAGTTAAAGCATAGAAGTAGAATCTGCACAGATGATAATCACATTTCCTCCCCATGCTCTCTTGCACTGTGGTGCACGAGGGGTCACTTAGCTGAACCTTTGTTGGGGTTGTAACTGCCAGTAAATGTTACTGGGGATACTGTTGATTGTCCTGCAATAAGAGTAAACAGATATGCATCCATTGCCATAACTTGTTCCTCTCACTGGTGTCTCCTTATGTCAGCTTAGCAATGTCATGTCTTAGCTTCCATTCCTATAACATCGGAACTTTTTCTATGGTTAGATGGGTGTAATTACTGTACTTGAAGCCCTGAATAGCCGATGAGACCCACATGATAGGTGCTCAAGCTGTGCCATTTAGAAATGATAGAATAATGTCATATGCTCCTCAGCTAAGTCTGGTGGTTGACAAAAAACTTGCTTGAATTGATACGATATATGATCTGTAGTGGTTGAGTTATAGAAAAACTAGAAGACATAGCTGGTCTGATAATTTGTATGCATGATAGGATGCTTAAAAATTCTCTCATTTTTTGTAAATAGGCATGGCTTTGTCTTGTTCGGTCTCTTCCTTATTCATTCTTCTCTTCTGCCATTGTCTAGACATTCAGCCAGTTGTGTACTTTTGATTATGGGAGTAAATCTGTACAAGTAAGTAAGGCACCCTGGTACATAAAGGATAGTCCAAGGTTTGCATACCGAGGACTTTTGATTGGTAAGCCGCAATTTTTCATGTGAAAGAAGGATTTCTATGCAAAGTTCACGAATTAGTTTGTCCTATAATATTTCTGAGTGCCTATCCTGTTGACACTTTTCCAGATACATCAAGGCACTATTTACCAATTGAAGTGATTAAGCAAGTGATCCAGTCGATGTCGTATGCTAAACTTGTAAGATATGCTACTTGGAAGGATTTTTTACTTGTTTTACATCATCTGCTTCTCAAATTTTTTGTCATGTGATACTGATGTTGAGAATTACATTAAGTAGAATGTTCTTCATTGGCACGTCATAGATAGAGAGTCTTTTCCTTTAGAAGTACCTTCCTATCCAAAATTGTGGAATGGTGCGTACACAAAATGGGAGCGCTACACGGTTGAGGATGCAATTGAAATTGTCAAGTAAGGTTTCTTTACTGTAGATTATGCAATCCTCATTAACTTTTGAACTCTAAATGCTTTCAAGGAAAAGAAAAGAAACCCTTTATCATGCTTATCTTATGTGCAGTTCTTGCTTTCTTATTGTTTCATATACTAATTTTGTGTTCTTTCCATATTTTGACGTGGTAATGTGAAGCTTTGCCAAAACAAGAGGTGCGCAGACAATCGTTGTTTCCTTACTGGGCCAGAAAACAAGCTTACATTCTTCATTATTCCATTTTGTTTATATAGCCTAGATGTGGGACATTATATTGCATAAGGGGTAAAAGGATTTTGCATATTTTACATGATCATTTTGGATGTTTTGTGGCAGGCATCAATGTTATGGCCGAAGTAGATGTCCCTGGTCATGCAGAGTCATGGTAAAAACCTTTCTTAATATCAACTGTTGTCAAGTAGCTTTTTTTTCTGATCTAGAATTAGATAGTTAATTAGCGTGGTCTCACCAAATGAAAGGACCTTACCTTACTTACCTATGATTTCTTCAGTAATTATTGCCTTACGGCTTTCTGTGAACTTTGGGAGAAGATACTTCCCTTTCAATATTTTAGTCAATTTTTTCTGTATAAAGGGGTAAACCTTTTCCTATGGAGGTCGATCTTGATCCTTGAATAACTCCTTCTGCTAAAGGTTAAAATGATTTTGAGAGAACGATAATGTGCGTACTTCATACCGCTATCTAGTTTCATCTTATGGAGAAAATTCTCTCATTTACTACTACTTGGTCTGGCTGATCTGAAGCTTTTTGTCTTTGGTAATTTATTTTTTTGCCTTTTGGCTTTACCACATGGTGTTCACTTTCTGGGAACTTAAAATTAGAATTAGCAAAAAGATTAGAACTTTCTACATTGCACTCTCCTTGAAGAATTATGCTTTTCAGTTATCTGTTGAAAACTACTTAATTCTTGAAAGATCTACCTGTTCTTGATCCTCATGTGCAGGGGCACTGGGTATCCTGATCTTTGGCCTTCCCCTTCCTGCAGAGAGCCACTTGATGTTTCGAAGGACTTAAGTTTAGATGTGATTTCTGGAATTCTGACAGGTTAACCTCATGATAACATCTCTCTCTCTCTCTCTCCCTCCCTCTCTCTCTCTCTGTGTAAGTACTTTGGAAAGTTTTGCCTTTATCTTGCATAAACCTATGAAAGTTTAATTTCTATTGTACAGATATGAGAAAGATTTTTCCCTTTGAGCTGTTCCACTTGGGCGGTGATGAAGTTAATACAAGTAAGTTAAAAGTGACATTTGTTCTAAGCTAAGTTTCTGCAATCATGTTGTTTACAAAGAACTAATATGAAGGGAACATATTGCTTTCTTCTTTTACAATCCATGAGTACAAGGGAATAAATAAGTTTAATTAAACAGAAACGAAACAATTATTGTTCATTATCCTTCCAAGAATTTGGAGTACAAAATGTTCATATCACCTACATTGAGATACTGTTACTTGTAAGTGGGCAGATGACGTTCTGCCTTTTGCAAAATATGATGGATATGTGAGAGAAGGGATTAATATTTCTAGGAACTCTAACGTAAACTTGTATGGCAATAAATTTTCAGTGTTAAGGCATTAGTGTTTTGGCTTTTAGAAACTACTTTGTTGTTACATTGGTTTCACCTTTAGGGCATTTGTTTTTGGGAAATGATTTCTGGCACACCTTTCTCCCCTTACTCACCCCTGTAATTATATGTCGTGTGCATAATCTCTCTCTCTCTCTCTCTTTCTCTCTCTCTCTCTCTCCCCCCCATCCTTTTATACCATCTGATGTTATTTCAATATTGGCAGCTTGTTGGAACACCACCCAACATGTGAAGCAATGGTACGTACTTTGTTTGTCTTTATTCATCATCTTTCGGATCTTATAGGATTTGCATGTAACACTTGTACCTTTCAAACTATGATAACTTGAAATCACTACAAAATACTTTAACAACTTGACTTACAGTCACACAATCTTAAACTGGCTAAAGTTTCTATTGAGCATGTACTGATTTACTTACAACCATCATGCCAACCTCAGATGATTTGTTTAGCCATGATTGATTTGTGTTTGATATGTTTGTTGGACTTTATATCTGTAGGCTTGAAGAGCGGAACATGACTACTAAAGATGCATATCAGTATTTTGTTATTAAAGCACAAGAAATAGCAATTTCAAAGAATTGGACCCCGGTAAACTGGTATGTCCAAAATCATTTCATTGATTTGTTACCGTGGTTTGAAATTTGTTTTTTTTCTTTGCATTGGCTTGCATGGAAAATTTGAAGGCAGTGTTTTTTTCTCACTCGTAAGTTTTTGCCAAAGGCAAATTTGAACCACATTATTGCTAGCGCATTGTGAGGCCTTAGCCTACCCCCTTCTTTTTTAGTGTACATAATATCGTTTGTTCAAAAAAAAAAAAAAAAAAAAAAAATCCTTGCTAGGATCTTCATCAGGTTAAAGTTATCAATCGTTGATTGTTAAATAAAGGGGTTAAAATCCAATGAGTGATCATTGTTCTTGTTTCTCAATACTGTAAGAATCATGTGACAGATGTAATTTTCTCTACGCAGGGAAGAAACCTTCAATACCTTCCCATCGAAGCTCAATCCCATGACCATAGTGCATAACTGGTGATTTTCTTCCCCATGCACATTTTCTGTGATGGCATCAAGCGAAGCACTAACCGTTTTAAGCACTTTCTAATTTTCTAAATCCAATAGGTTGGGCTCAGGGGTTTGTCCAAAGGCAGTTGCCAAAGGTTTCAGATGTATTTTCAGCAATCAGGGTGTTTGGTATCTTGACCATCTAGATGTCCCTTGGGATGTTACGTACAATGCTGATCCACTTGAAGGAATTACTGATATTTCTCAGCAAAAGCTTGTTATCGGAGGAGAAGTATGTATGTGGGGGGAGACAGCTGATACGTCAGATGTTCAGCAAACCATTTGGCCTCGAGCTGCAGCTGCTGCAGGTAAGTAGTGAAAGTTGTTACACCGTAGATTTCATTTGATGCCTGTCTTACCATTTTTTTTAATCTGATTTGCATCATTTGAAGACTCTCAAATTTGATTTAATGGCATTTCGTTTTCCTTGTAGAACGCTTGTGGAGCAGGAGGGAGGTAACATCTCATGGAAATAGTTATGCAACGGCACTATCTCGGCTACAATACTTTAGATGTCTCTTAAACAGACGTGGAGTTCAAGCTGCTCCAGTAACAAACTTCTTTGCTCGAAGTCCACCAACTTGGTCTGGATCATGCTACGATCAATAATACTTCCAATTGTTATGGGATAGTGCTATTCACACACCCATTTTTACTTCCCCACACACTTGTTATTTGTTGGCCATTGATCTTCTTCAATTCATTCGATCTGACGGTCAAAAATTGAGAGGGGCGTGTGAGAAGTAGAAATGAGTGTGTGGATAACACTACCCTTGTTATATTAAGTGATTTCACGAGTGGTAAGATTCCCTTCCAATGTTCTACCAATAAACGAACCGTTATAGAATTCAGTGTTTCTCTTGCTTGAACATGCATTGCCTATTTATTGTATGATATCTATTGTTGTGGGTTTGATCAGCCAGATTTGAAGGTTTAGAATCACAAAATATGGTCATTGTATTTGGCAAAATACGTTGTCGTTGAGTATAAATTACTAATATGATTGAATTTCCTACCTCTTCCTGTCTAGCATTTCTGTGTTTTCGTGTAGTGACAGTCCGATCACGATGGCATTGGGTCGAATTCTGTCAGTCATATGATATCTGTGATGCATACCAAATTTTCATCACACACGGGTTTCTGAAGGTCATATACTGAGCTTAAGAAATGTGTGAATTTTGGGGACTTTTTAGGTTCATGTCTTCATGATGTCGCTTTCGAATGTGAAAATTAGCAAAGCGTAGCAATCATCTGCATTTGAATCTCTCGTTTCCCACTTATAGAAAAACGTTCGTGAATCTACAGAAAAAGCCTAATATCCTCTCCACTAGGATATTGGATCACGTGCCAAAAAGTTTTAGGGCTTTTTGAATCTCTTGTTTCCCACTTGTAGAACAACGTTTGTGAACTTATGGCAATGTTTTCAATCATTACATTTGGTGGTTGTGATTGACAAGATTATAATTGAGGTCGCCGCTAATTTCTAAGAGCGAACGTGTTACACACAATAATTGTTATTCAAAATAAGCCCAAGCCCAATATATTATAAGTTCATAAAAAATAACAATCACATACGTGCAGTTCCGAGCCAACAAACATAGCTCTATCGACTACTCTCATTCCTCATGTCGTTTTTTATATTAAAAGAAAAAAGTGGTCAACTATTCACAACAATTGTTAGGCACCCGAGTCCCACATAAATAAAACAACTTACAATAATGCATACACGCGTGAACGACTGATACTAACACAACTTTTTGAATAATCGTTTCTAAACAGATCATTTTGAAATGTGCAATTTCAATTTGGTGGGTAACAATGGCTTTCAAACTTCGACCCATACTTTGAATCGAACTGTTATGATATTACCAAATACCAATGAAATTATGAAAGTCGTTTCCATTCTAACTTGGAATGCAAGGATTTGATTATCTGAATCTTACACTAGTCAGTTATATGTTGATAGTGCACTGGTCAAGATTCAAACACTACCAATTTTGGGAGTTTTGTTTTTGACTACCAATAACCAATTCTTTTGGACCAACCAATTACCAATTTTAGAATTTTAAATCTTCACCATAAAAATATAACCAAAACAAGAAGAAAAACACAAAATAAAATATGGAATCGTAATTGATTAATTAATAATTGTAACATGAAGATCTTATTATATATTGTACGTTGTGGGAGATGATCGTGATTCAGTTGGTTAAAAATACTCACCGTGCACTCGATTTTTAAATTCGATTTCCTCCTTGTATCATTTCATGCACCCAAACTCCCGAGTTCAATTTTCTCTTTCAATTGGTTAAGAATATTCACTTTGTACTCGGCTTTCGAATGCGATTTCCTCAAATTGTTTGCATCATTCCTCCACCTTGAGCTTCCGCATTCAAGTTTCTCCTTGAGTTGGTTAAGAATATTTTCGTTGCATCCCAATTTCGAGTTCATTTCTCCCTTCACATACTATTTATGTTATTTCTGCACCCGAGTTTCCGAGTTCAATTTTCCCCTCCCACACTATTATAAACAAATATTGTATGGTGTTCTCAAAAACGGATATTATAATTTAGATGGGTAATGGGTGTACATTGGGTGGGTATAGAAAATGGGTCTGTCAGTCTCCCTGAAACAGTTAAATAAACAAAACAAGCAAGCAAATTGAAACCCACTGCCTTTTGCCCCTACTGTGAATCCTTCTTCTTCTCCCTTTTCCCTCCTGTGCTTTTGCCTCCCTCTCTCTCCTCCTCTCCTTCTTTAACTCTTCACTCCCAAGGCTTCTCACTCCTCCACGGCTCTGCTCTGCTGATTCTCCTCTCTGACATCTCTCAATCCGTAAGTCTCAAATCCAATCTCTATCTCTTAAGTTTGCATCACATAGAACCCTAGAAACTCAGAAATTGCGTCGTTTTCTATTCGTTTTGATTCAATTTCTTCTTCCCGACGAAAAACTCAGGATTCTGCTTGAGATTGGGATTTCCATTCTACTTGACGAATTTTACCGGCGAAAATTCTCTGTATTTTTGGCGCCTTATTCATATGATTTACCGCTAATTATACGTGGAAATTTTGATTTGGTATTGATTAATAAGATTAATAAGATTAGTACGATTTTGTGTTCTTCTTCTTCAGAGTCTGTTTGTAGCTGATGCTTGATCTGATAGGGTTTGGATTCCTGGCATTCTTGTAAATCAAAACCCCACGCTATTCTTCGGAGCGTACTGAAGCTAAATGAAATTGAACTAGGAGGTTTTTCGGATTTCTGGGGTTTTTTTCACTAAGAATTTCAATTGGGCATGGTGAGTAAGGAGGATGCCTCCGCTACTTCACGGCCACCAGCCCAGCTTTCGAGCTCTCGGAAGATGTTCTGGCGCTCAGCGTCGTGGTCTGCTTCACGGACCAACCCTGAGACTGAGGAAAGAGACATAGCGGATCCAAATGTCATTGTAGGAAACAGTGTCCAAAACCATCGTAGGTTTCCTGTACCCTTAACCCCTCGGTCCCAGCAGAATAGCAAGGTTAAGTCTGGTTTGCCCCCCTTGCAATTGCCCATCGCTCGGCGTAGCTTAGATGAGTGGCCCAAGGCGGGTTCAGACGATATTGGTGAGTGGCCACAACCTCCTACTCCGAGTGGCAGAAGTAGTGGGGAGAGGTTGAAGCTTGATTTGTCAACGATTCAGCGAAACCCTGAAAAGAATTGTGGACTTGTGAGGAGGGATAAGATTGCTTTCTTTGATAAAGAGTGTTCCAAAGTGGCTGAACACATTTATCTTGGCGGAGATGCTGTTGCAAGGGACAGGGACATACTTAAGCAGAATGGGATCACACATGTTCTGAATTGTGTGGGTTTTGTTTGTCCCGAGTATTTCAAGGCGGATTTTGTGTATAGAACTCTATGGTTGCAAGATAGTCCGACTGAAGATATTACAAGTATTCTATATGATGTTTTTGATTACTTTGAAGATGTGAGGGAACAAGGTGGAAGAGTTTTGGTTCATTGTTGTCAAGGTGTGTCTCGGTCCACATCATTGGTGATTGCGTATCGTATGTGGAGGGAAGGACAGAGTTTTGATGATGCATTTCAATATGTGAAGGCAGCAAGAGGTATTGCTGATCCAAATATGGGTTTTGCTTGTCAGTTATTGCAGTGCCAAAAGAGGGTCCATGCTTTCCCTCTTAGCCCAAGTTCACTATTGCGGGTGTACAGAATTGCCCCCCATTCACCATATGATCCTTTGCATCTTGTTCCAAAAATGTTGAATGATCCTTCGCTGTCTGCCCTGGATTCTAGAGGTGCATTTATTGTTCATATACCTTCTGCCATATATGTTTGGATTGGTAAGAATTGTGAGGCCATCATGGAAAACGATGCAAGAGGGGCAGTTTGTCAGATCGTTCGGTATGAGAAAGTGCAAGGTCCAATAACAATAATCAAGGAAGGGGAAGAACCAGTTTATTTTTGGGATGCTTTTTCAAACATTTTACCTTTGATGGATAGGTCTGGCAATGAAGGGGAGGCTGGGGAGTCAATAGTTAAGATTCGCCCGGGTGAAAGGAAATCAGACATATATAATATTGATTTTGAAATTTTCCAGAAAGCTATTAGTGGTGGTATTGTACCTCCATTTGCATCCTCGGAGAACGAACACGAAACCCATCTTCCTGCTAGAGAGAGCAGCTGGAGTGCCCTCAGGCGTAAGTTTGCCTCTGGCAATATGAAGGACTTTGTGTCAGCACCCAGGATATCCCTCTCCAGGGTCTATTCAGATTCTAGGATATTAGTTCATTCAGCTAAAAATTCGTCATCACCTTTATCAGCGTCCTCTTCATCTTCATCATCCTCTTCTTCTTCACCTCCATATCTTTCACCAGATTCCATCTCTTCTGAATCAAGCACTAATTCAAAGTACTTTTCAGAATCCTCTACGGATTCACCATCTGCAGCTTCATGCTCTCTTCCAGTATCTTCAATGTTGTCAGATGATTCTGACATGTCTCTCCTCTCAGCTAAACCATCAGATCAGCCCATGTCTAACACTCTAGAAAATGTTGTTTCCAGTTGTAGTTCACAGCCCTATTCTAGATCAATCTCATTACCATCTAAAAAAATTTCTTCGTCGCTTGCAGAGCGCAGAGGTAGTTTGTCTCTTAAATTACCTGTAATGAGTGATGAGATGAGGCTGATGAGTACTACGTCAAAATTTCTTCCCAGTAAAGAAGATGGTGTTAGGATAAACAACAATACTTGTTCTGTAGGCCATGTAGATAATATTGACAATGCTGTAGAGTCGAAGGATGATGTTCAAAATGAAGGGGGAGATTCAACACATCAATGCAACAAATCCCCGCATTGGGGAGATAGCATTGGCTTATGCCAGAAGGAAGCTTCTTTCATTAAACATTCCACTAAGGCTTGGAACCCTTTGGGTGAAGGTACAGAATTCTCTGCCTCAAAGGAGATTGTGGAAAGTTGTCCAGCGCAATGCAATTTTATGCAACCTTTTGTGTGCCACTGGCCCAGTTTAGAGAAGATAGCAGCATTTGGTGTGAGAGAATTAGATTCTAAAGCTGCTTACACTATTTTCTCACCAAACACAGGCTTTGAAAAAAGTGAAGACAGGGTTTTGTACCTCTGGGTGGGGAAATTTTTCGACAATGATAAGTTTTCCATTCAATTAGCTAGTGGCAGAGAGAGAACTGATGTAGAAAAGACTGACTGGGATCAAGTTGGTTTTCATGTTCTTATCCAAATGGGTCTGCCAAAGGATACAATCATTAAGGTATGAAATATAAATGTGTTTTACCTCAACTTTTATGTGATTTCATCTATTTTTTGGTGCTTGTGTCTTTAGGATTAATGTGGCTTCTTGTAAATTTGGTATGTTTGCTATAAGATTTCTGTTGCCATCTACTGTATGCATCCTTACTATTTTGTGTCTCAGGGGCTTTGACTTTTGATAGTGAGTTACATGACAACTGTTAGGTTTTTCTTTCTCTTTTAAATATGATTTTTCAGCATGGTTCAATTGCAGTTTCTTACATTTTGCATTAGGTCGTCTCTTTTTATGTTTAAGTTAAGATCCTTCTCTGCTGTAATCTGATTTTCAAACATGGTTTCATTCTTTCGCTTTTTATGCTTTAACATAATCTACGCTCAACCAAAAGATCTATGGTGCTCTTATTGTCTTTGACTTTCTTTTGATTATTAGCTTGATGTCATTAGTTCATTACTCAGCAGTGACCAATTATATTTCTTTGATAATCCGTTCATTTTTGGCTCATTTTGGGTCTAATGTCTTTATTCGATTTGCTTGTGTTCATTCATTCAAAGTATTATTTTCTGTTGGATTAAAGCCTGTGAATGCATGCACTTGTGAATTGTTGTGAAAACTATGATGTTTCTAACTGTGAACACTGATTGCTGTATGAACAGATTGTTAAAGAAAATGAAGAACCAGTGGAGTTTCTTGAATTATTGAGCCGGTTGTAGTGCCAGTGCAATTAAGGAGAGAATCTTTATAGTCCTCTTGCCCAATTCAATTTTCTGTTTCTCCAGCTGACTTAATTTGCAGTCCAACATTTTCCAGGCATCAGTATAACACCGGCGGCTAAAACATTAAGGTAATGAAGTAGTTGGTTACCATTATTCTCCTTCATATCTAAGACACGCTAGTCAACTATTTTTCCAGTACCCCAATTGGGATAGTAGCTTCGTCTAGAAGGCTTTGTGTCGCATGTCACTAGTGAACCAACCATGCACTAAATACAAGGGCACGCACCGTTAGGCCACTTCACTTGATTTTATTCCACCTGCATTTAGAAATGTTTGTGTATGCACATTTTCTGTTTGAAGTTGCTGAATCACTTACTAAATAGAATGAAACCCTATTTGCAATTATCTTGGGGCAGCTGCAGTAGTTGTCCCTCAAAGAGTCTATTAATGCCCATTTCTTGAAAAATCTCCCACGAGTGAACTTTGATTGGATGCTAGCTTCTGCTACTGCTAGATCAAAACGGAAACAAAACTAAAGGAAGATTTTGCATGTTTGGCGTAAACAAAACTAATAGAAAAAAAGTTGATAACCAACGGAGAAATCCAAACATATGAAAAAGGCTCCATTTCAAAGTACTTTGTGATATTTTCTTGATGCCATATTCCGTCGATCCAAGTGAAGGTGAAGTTTCTATAATATAAGAGTTGTGTGTAGCTGGGTCCGTAGGAATTCCAGATAAGGACTGTTGAATGTTGTTTTCGTTTACAAGTGTTTACTTTTCTGGTTTCTTTTTGTAATTCCGAATACTGACATGGAATGCTGTGTGCAGGACGCCGCTCTCTCTACACTTAACCGCCTTGTTGCTAATCTCGACTGGTTGTACAGTGACTTAACACCCGCCCGCCGCCCGGTAACTCATAATCAGATTTTTCTTGTATATTCACTACTACAAGGATCAAATCCTGAATGCCTTCAACGGCAAACTAGCAATTTAGATTAAACGTTCCATTCGACATGCTCTCTCTCTCTCTCTCTCTCTCTCTCTCTCTCTCTCTCCAAAGAAAGAAATAGTTGTAAGTTGTAACCATTTGATTTTGCTTCAGTATATATTTTTCTGGAATAAAAGATAGAGCCAACTTAACTACTTGAACTCGTCATTCCTCGAACAAAATAGAGGTTCTGTGTTGCTAAACCTCACCTTCTAAAGCAGCTTAAGGACGCATACAAACACTGTGTTTGGACTCAATTTTACACTATCGGCCCGAGCAATCGAGGCCGTGGAATAAGTAAAATTTTGAGCCGTTAGATTGAAAGAAGACTGAGACGATTGATTAATAATTTGTCTAGATATTATTATGATTTTAATAATCATGATGTTATCTGAGGAATTATTGAAAATTATTTCTAAAGTGCAAAGATAATTAAGGAGTCCAAAAGATTGAAATGTTATCGGATCAAAAGATCGAAGATAAAGCTCAGTTTGGATTTTATCCTAATGCATGTTTTTTGGGTTGGCAAATGGATATTAATTGGCAGAAAGATTAATGCATGCGTGGAGGAAGAGTTGAAATGAAGGAGGACTTCTCTCCTTGTTTATGCTGTTCTGCTTGGGGTATACCACATTAGGAGAAGCCACAAGTGAAGAGTCGTGCATAGTAATAACTGGCGTCAGGATAGCATCAAATCCGTTTGGATTAGGTCACGGCATGATAATTCACTATTATCATGCATGACACCTAGATTGGACCATTAGTTTGGATTGCCTCCAAATAATGGTAGGCGTTGATTGGGTTTAATGCAATTGCATGCATCATATCCACTGGAGCTGCATTATCATATTTTTTTTTTAAATCCAAATTGATGGGATTTCATGCATTATCATATCCCAAAAAAGTAGGAGTGCCTACACGAGGGATTATCTAATATTCTTAGGAATATTACTTTTGCACGCGAGATACTCATGGCAAGCAACAAGCAATGAAGCGTACTGGCACTATAAATACAGATGCAATGGCAACGGCCACTCCAATTCAACACACAATTGCCCTGCGCAAACATCTTGAGATTTTTTTTTTTTATTTTCTTTTTCCGCCGACACATCTTCAGTTTGGATAAACAGCACTGTGAAGGCAACCGACGAACATCTTTAGTTTGGATAAACAACATTGTTGTCGTAGAATCAGCCGACCGAGGAACACCTTCAGTTTGGATAAACACCACTGCGCTATGGTCGACTGGTTACCTATCCAAGTCTCGGTTAAGAAGGGTTTCCGAATCCTTATTGGCAGATGTCATCTTATTAACCTTCTCAGCGAAGTAAAGTGTTACAAGTTGCGACATTCGGCACATTGAATGCCGAGTGATTTCATGATTGGATACTCACAAGTAAGCTTCAGAGTTCGACATTCTAACGGCCGAACCACATTTACCATCAAGACATACATCTTCTTTGAGTACTTATGTCCATATAACCTGGTGTCGATTCGACGTGCTTATACTCTTACGAATATAATCACTGTGACCGAATCTGGCGCCGACGATTCGTAAACTTCGCAGAACTAGCAGCTTTGTCTTCAGTCTCAAGAACCCGAAGGCCGAGACTTGTTCCTTCCTCGGCCGCAATCACAAGATTAGAAAGTCAACATCACACTCAACTCAACATCAACAAATTTTACTCCTCGACCGAGCTTGACCGACGAGTTGGCACACCTTGCATCAACCAAAGGACGTAGTTAGCTTATTAGTTATTTGACCTGTGTGCCACGCATGCTTTGTAATTTTTAGGGTCAACACCTTGTTATAAAGGAGACCTTGCTGAAGTCTAGGATGTTTGTTGCCAGAGCTAACTCCTTTCGATTTTTACCAACGGCAGTCCGATGAACCCTAGACCGATACCATTGAGTGAAACTATATCCTACAATACGACATAATAATCATCTCTAACACAATGGCTATTTTAAAATGCAAATAACATCTCTTATAAATTTAATACTGAATACATACTAGTTTTAACAACAAATTTAAACGATTGGAACGTCAAACAATTAATATTTTTACTACTCATTAAATAAATTTGATCGAAGAAAGGGTAACTGTCTACATATTCTTCTAACTCAAATATTGGAAACATTAATGCTAGTTTGTAATACATAACATTTCACCCAAAAAAGATTATGAATGTTATATTTCTCTCTCTCTCTCTCTAATAACAATAATTATCAATTTTTTTTAATAAACGATATTATCTACACCAAAAGGAAGGAGGTGAGCTTAACCTCACAATGTGCTAGCAATAATATGATGTACAATAATTATCATTTTGTACACAATATATAATCCACAGCGTAATACAAGTAAGGACTGATCCATAACTGATGCGACCAAAGATGGCCCAGAAAAATAAAGGGCCTCTTTTATATATCCAAAGCCCATTACTGTAATGGTGTCATGAACGTATCATGTCCAATTAACATAATAGCAGCAACCATTAGTGTTGGAGGAGTGTATGTATTTAAGCATCCATTATTCTCCATCACCGATGATCTACAGATCCAACCCCTAACCCATAACTTCCTTGTCAGCTTAATCACATCAATCCATGAAGTTATGGGTCAGATCTGTAGATCATTAGTGATGGATTATAATGGATGCTCAAATACCCTCCTTCAACCCCAGCAGTTGCTGTTATTACTTATGAAGCTAATTGGACATGGTACGTCCTGTCGTCCATGGAATCATTGCAGTCTCAGGCATGCATTTCCAACCTCCTCACCATTGTAATTTTTTTCTTCATATTGTTATACATGCATGTTGTATATGTAAAGTGGTTTTCTTTTCAATGGAATAATCTGATTCGAAGTCAGTTTCCGAATATCGTTTCTCAGCAACGACAAAGTACGGTTTTAAGGATCGACATAAATCGAATGTGGCTGGAGCAGCACATACTTGTTTACTTCTGGTGCAGATGCTTCTCATTAAGCGAATAAAGGTGGCGAGACAGATTTTATATGGAGCCCACATCTAGATTGTGGAGATGCCCAATGTTCAAGGCCAGGAATCCAAACATGGTATCAAACCATATTTTTTCAGCTTCTGCAAAGATCATCTTGTTAGCATTTTTGTCAACGAATAGTTTGATGTTGCACCCAAAAGGGTAAGCTTTGAGTCGAATGCAGCTGATGCTTGCTCCACAACTTGGGCTGAAACATCATGAACACAAAATTGAAACATAAACATGAAGGAAGCACGAAGATTGGCTATTGCGTAATGAATATAAACATGAACACAGAGAAATCAAGCCGTTGCATTGTAATTTTGTTTCTACAAGCAGTAGTGGAGATCAGGACAAAATTCCACAAAAGCACATAAAATTCAAACTTAAACGCAAAAGTTACATCATTGTATTTTCTTGAGATTTTGATTGACAAAAAGAGTTCTATTAATAGATTATAATTTTTTTTTACTTTTTAATTTCTTTATAGTTACACACATTTTGTGTGGGCTCCATCTAGTGCAATATTACTAAGGGAGTTTTAACGAAACACTCCTATAACTGTTCACTTTTAACATTAAGAAAATTTTTACTCTAAAAAGTCACGCATGATACTATTCACTTACAACACATATTTGTCATTTTGGTTAAAACTTAAAGTTTTCAAGTCATTTTCATTAGTTTTCCTTATTACTAAATCATATGATGAAACAAAAGTATATTATCAGAAGTCGCTTATGAGCTCTTATTACAAAAATTATGTGGAATAATTGGGAATTCTTGGCATTATCTCGTCTATTTTGCAGTCAATATTTGAAGCTTAGTTTTGGTGAGATATATCTTCTCATTAAACCTTGGTGAACCCTAGGTTACTTTGCTGGAGCTAAAAACCAAATCATAATCTAGCAATATCATAGTTGTGTTTGCACTCTATCCTCGTTTCTTAATTTCGTTAGGGATGAGTTTATGATGACTATTTTGGAGTGTGAATAACAAACTCCCTTAATTTATTATCAAAGAGACACAGCATTTGACCAACGAAGGGTTAACTGTCTAGATATTCTTGTAACTCAAATGTTGGACACATTAATGCTACGATAGGAGTTGGAATTGCTCAAGCATCCTTAATCCTTAATGAAGCAAAGCTTAGTTCTTCTCTCTTGTCCTCGCTTGTTTTTGAAAGAGGTCATGGCGTCCTCAACACCCTTCTTAAGGGTTCTAAAGTGTATGTGTGTTTGTCACAACATCCCGTCATTGCATTAAACCCGAAGGAACTCGAAGTTAAGAGGGCTTGGCTTCCCTAATGATTTTGTGTTTGGAGTGTCTACTGCAGCAGCACAGATAGAAGGATCAGCAAAATCAGCAGGAACAGGACCAAGTGCTTGGGACACGTTTGTTAACAATTCCATGTAAACCTTCTCCTAGCACATGCTACTGTCTCTAGGCTCTACAGAAACAAGTACCAGAAAACACAAGGTGGACAAATTGTAGTATGTCTTGTAGGACAATATGTCGAGCCCTTTTCGGACTCAGCAGAAGACAAAGCTGCATCAATGAGAAATTTGGACTTTGAACTTGTATGGTATGGAGCCATTAGTATATGGTATATGGAGTCGTTAACAAAAATTAAAAAAAAAGCTTTCCAGTTTGCTTCCTTCTGAACTTCACACATCTATCGTAAAACGGGGAGGTGAACAAGCAAAAGTCTAGTTTCTTTTGTTGAGAGTACCAAGTCCACGTCGGGGAGAAGAGGGACATTGCATGTGCTTATAAGTAGTTGAGCTACTTGATAGAGATTTTACCACGTGCAAAAGTAGGGATAAAAACACTTAAAAATACTTGCAAGAGAACAAGGTAGTTGTAGTATAAACGGCTCAATCAAGATCGTTTTCCGCAGGAATTATTTAAAACAATTTATCAAAGACCCTAATCTTAGTTAACTATTTGAAAGTAAAGATTGGAAAAAATAGATTTTGAATGTAAAAGTAATAAAAACGAATTTTAATAAAAGTAATTTAGGGAAAGCAACTAATAACCAATTAGAAAAGAAACAAATCAAAGAGAAAAGGTTTTGAGAAACAAATTTGGAAAAACACTAGAGTTCCGTCATCCCCTTAACAATCTTATGTAGATGTACTAATTACTTATGAAATACCCATGCAACTTTGAAGGTTAGGTTTTCCTTATGAATATTCTACTTGTGGCATTCAAGCTAGAACATATATCAAACATGCAATCCGTCTGTGGTATTCAGATCAAATATAAACATGCATGACTCATTATGCTTTGTAAAAACCTTTTGAAAAACCATGCAACCCCTACGACATGGCATTCGCCCTAGGTGAAATTACAACTATCAATCACAAGAAGCAATACCCAATTCCCTGGTGGCATTCCGACTGAATTACGTCCAATTACTTATCTAAACATGCTAATGGTTGCGAATCATTAAGACACAAAGACAGTTTAAAGCAATGATTAATAATTCAAAGTATGCATGCATAATATCATAAGCAATTAAATAAAAACTACATATTCATGCTAAAGCTCAAGGTTTCGCCTAACAAAAGAAAATTAGTTGCGCATACTCATAATTAAAATTAAAAGAATTATATTAAACTAGAAAAAGAATGAAAACACCTTGTAGAATAAAGTCTGAAAATCTCTAAAGCTTTAGCCAAATCCCTCTTCTCAAATCATGTGTCTGTAGAAGAGAAACCCGAAGTTTTCCAAAAGGCTTATTTATACTCTAATTAAAATCCTCCTAATGAAAGGTCTTCAAATAAGATTAGGAAACAAATTGAAATAAAATAGGAAACATAATCCTAAATTGATTTGGTAAATTCGCCTAGAAATCTGTACAGCCACGTTCTAGACCCAAATCAGCTCCAAAACTGGCCCAACACAGCTGGATTTGATGCTTGGACTATTCTGAACACTTCTCCAGAAGGTTACGAACCCATCTAAGGTCATCTTGGGCCCCAAAAACGCAATTCAAACCCAGAAATGTCACTTTCCAGCAACACACACTGCTCCTTTATTTAATCTTCAGAAAATAACCGCTTAGTAGAAAAATCCCAAATTTTGACACAAACAAGCCAAGAGACACACAAACATCCTCCAATTTGAATCACTTCAAAATTCGTTCGTTTGATCATATTTTACTCCAGAGGAAGTTGAACGTCCTGTATTGAAAATATAAAGCAAAGCATCAAAATTCTACAAAAATAATTACCAAATTATACTAAGATTAGGGTAAAATATATTATATAATATTGACTCATCACTACTCCCTATATTGCAATTAGTTTTTGATGGAATCTCAATTTTCCAGTGTGATTTTGAGAATGAACGTCAAGCTTTGAAAACAAATAGTTCTGGTAACCCTCTGCCTTCTTGTCCATAATCGAGGTCCTTCAGTTCTGAATCTTCTGATCAAATCAAATGAGTCATTTATTAATTAACACTCCGCCATCGTAACCGTTTCGTTCTGAAAAAGCCGTGCATGCATGAGCTTGAAGTTGAAATGGTTTAATTCCAAAGCCTATAAATTGATGGGTCTGTCTGAGGCTTAGAAAGTATATCGCATGCCTTTATATATCCTCCTCTACCGTCCTTATATTGCATCAATGGCAACCACCAATACCACCAGTGTGGGTTTGAAGCTTTTGGTCGATACAAAGGGTCACAAGGTTCTGTTTGCTGAAGCGACGAAGGAAGTTGTAGATTTTCTTTTCACTCTCTTGTCTTTGCCTGTTGCCACTGTCATTAGGCTTCTCTCGAAGAATGACATGGTTGGTTGCTTGGGCCAACTTTGTGAGAGTGTTGAAAATCTTAGTGATACATACTTGCAACCCAATTTTGATAAAGACGCCCTTCTCAAACCCAATGGCACAGTTGCTGGTGCTAATATCTTTCATTTAACTGACCAGCAGCAATGACTGTAATCCAAAACAGTTCTACATTTGTACCAGTTGCAATCGCTGTATTTGTCATGTGTCTGAACAACATGTCCACAGTGCTCACATGGGGTTTTTTGTAATTATAGAGCCATTTCCACCCTGTGACTTATGTTGCTCCGCAAGCACGTACTAGTACTAATGCAGCAACAACGTTGTCCGGTGAGGGAGGGTATGTGAAGGGTGTTGTGACTTATATGATCATGGACAATTTGGAGGTGAAGCCTATGTCTACTATTTCTAGTATTTCTGTGCTTAACAGGTTCAATATTAAGGAAGTCGGTGTTCTTGAAGAGAAGGTGGTTAATCTTGGCATGGAGGAGGTCTGAATTCCTATATATTTCTTTTGGAAAATGCAAGGGTGAGCATGTTTTTAGACTATATTTGCAAATTATATGATGTAACGGTTAATAATTGGATTTATTTTTTAAATTTTAAAAAGAAAGTCAATATACCGCTATATTATGTGTTATACAAAATAAAATTCAATTGGACAGTGTCTCTAGCATCACCCATTTCTTTCTCTTCACTTTTTCTTAGTTTTTTTTTTTTTTTTTTTCCTTCCTATCAACTACTTTTCTTTAGTCATGTCATATTTTATTCTTTTGTAAATGATTACATTCGGCGGCTACTATATGCTGATAAGTTTACATGCGCCTACCTCTTTTTTGTTGTATTTTTAGGGATTGAAGCTTTTGAAGGCATCGTGGGAGTCCAACACTGTTCTCACCAATGTGTTTCTTGGTAAAAAGAAGACATAAACATATGAGATTATTGTTGCTATAGCAAATTAGCAATGGTGTTTTTGTGAGGTTTCTTTACTTTGATTTAAACACCTTAAATAAAATGAGTGTCCTTAATTGGACTAGTTAAGCTAGAAGCGTGGGTTTACATTTAAGGTTGCACATGATTCTCCAACATATTATGTGACGATGCGAATCCAATTGTCCAGAACTGACCTAACATTTTTGTATAGTAAGAAAATTTTACGTAAATGTTTTGAATAATTTAGAGCAACTTCAATCACCCTGACAATTGTTTTAGTTAATCAGGTTACTCAAGTGTTTGGCACATTGAAAGCCAAAACTTTATTGAACTTCGATCTAACAACCTTGTCTTCAGGTTCTAGAAACCAAAGGTCGGTCGTGATCGCTCGGACACAAAAGTCAGCAGCATGACACCACTATCACATCTATCTTACTCGCCGACCGAGCTCGGTCGCGAGTTGGCACACCCGCATTCACTAGAAAAAACATAGTTAGCTCTTAAATACTTAGCCTTTAGGGTCAACAATAAATATATTAGTAGAACAATCAGTTTTTATTTGACTATGTGTATTAATTTTATGAAACTCAACCTCTGTGTATCAGTGATATATTTCAAGATAAATTGGTAGATTCAAATTTTTTTTAGTATATTTGAATTGGGTAAAATATTCTGGTTGGTTTTGGTATTAGCCATACGGATCCCATTTTTTCGGTATTTTTCGTCAGATGTTTTGATTTTATGAAGTAAATGTCGGGTTACCGAAGCAAAAATTTTTGGTGAGTATTGGTCGATCGTTTCGGTTTTTATAGTAGAAAATGACAGACCTAAATGGGGACTATGTAGCTATAGCAACACCACATCATAATAGCAATCTTCTGATGATGCCAAATATTGTTTTTGGAAACGTGATAACAAATACTCGTCGAATATACCACATATATAGATTGGGTTGCAAGTAAGTCTCACTAAAAGCTACTTTGGTTAAGTTTGCCAATCAACCGACCATGTCCTCGTTTGACAGGTCACAGAAGCCTAATCGCAGTTCCAACGGGTAAAGACAAAAGGTGATTAGAGTCCTTCGATAATTATTGGCTTATTCTTTGCTCGCTTCCGCGAACAAAACCTTGTGGCCCACTGGCCCTTTCTGTCGATCAGAAGCTTCAAACGCACTAGTAGGTTTGGAGGTTGACATACTGTATCAGTGAATGGAGGAAGATGTTACTAGTTGCCAAAACTATACCGTGTTGGAGAGGTTGACACAGGTCCTCTATGTATTTGTGATAGTCATCAGATGATAATTAATTGGAGTTAATTAAAAGTTATCATGTCTGTTTTGGGAATAAGATCATATGTTAATTGTAAATGGGGACTTGCAGCGAGTGCTGAGATCGAGACGCACGCCAGCTAAAACCAACGCATGACCCTAATGAAACGGTGTTGTTAATTTCCCAAACCCTAGTTAATCGTAAATTACCCGTCTGTTCCGGTTCCCTTGATGTTTTTACATAACTTCCAAACGTTTACAATTCTCCTCTTCTTAGTATATATACCTTGTTAGAGTCTGTTGCCCTCCTCACTGCATATGTGAAAATGGCTAACTCCGATTCAACTGTTAGTTTGAAACTCCTAGTTGATTCAAAGCGTCACAAGGTTTTGTTTGCCGAAGCAGGCAAAGACTTTGTGGATTTTCTTTTCACTCTTCTATCGTTGCCTTTAGGGACTGTGATTAGGCTCCTAGCCAAGCATGGCGTGGTTGGTAGCTTAGGGAAACTCTACGAGAGTGTTGAGACTCTGAGTGACGCATACATGCAACCCAATCTTGACAAGGACACTCTGCTGAAACCCAAGCCAGCGATTGGCGGTGCTGATGTCCTTCACTTGTTGGCCGGCGATGAAGCAACTAGAAAGGTCTACATGTGTCGCAACTATCACCGTTATGTAGCTGATGATTCTCGAGCCATTTGTCCTTCGTGCGAATCCGCTATGTCAACAGAAGTGCCTCATGTAGCCCCGCAGGTTACTTCTGGAAGTTCCTCCGGCGAGGGTGGTGGTTATGTGAAAGGTCTTGTCACATACATGGTAATGGATAACTTGGAAGTGAAGCCCATGTCTACCATTTCAGGTATTACAGTGCTGAACAAGTTCAATGTTAAGGAGGTTGGGGACCTTGAAGAGAAGGTGGTTCATCTTGGCATGCAAGAGGTTTGACACTTCCAACAAAAATTTCTATCAACTTTGTGATATCAATTTATTAAATAACAAATCTGGATATTTTTAGTATGCCAATAAAAAATGATCAATGTTGTGTTTCTTTTTGTAGGGTATAAGTCTGTTGAAGGCGTCTCTCCAGTCAAACTACGTTCTCACCAATGTTTTTCTGGGTAAGAAAGTGGCATGAAAATTTGGCTTTTCGCCGGAAGTATGAACTGAAGATTGCTTTTGAAGTTGATTTTGAGTTAATTTGTTTTCCTGCATTGTTACTTTGAATCTAGATATATGTAATTGCACTCATGGGTTAATTTGGATTTCATCAACGATCTTTTTGGACTTTATCGCTACTGGTTTTTTACATCTTTGTTAATGAAGTTGGAATCTTCTAACTGAAATAGGGAAGGGGTCAAATATAAACAAGAAATCGGTTGTAAAAGCCCTAATCAACAACAAAACCAACAAAGAATTTGTTTCAGTTTTTTTATTCATTTATTTATTAGTACAACGATATATTTTACACTAAGGGGAGTGGGGAGTTCGACTAAGCCACACAATGAGCAATTTAATTTGATATCGAATTCGTCATTCACGAGATTCGAACCTAAGACCTCTTACTCACAAGTGAAGAGGAATATTTATAGATTGTAGCACTGAATGGTAGAATTTGTTTTAGTTTTGAAATCAAAGAAAGAAATACGTTAATACGTTAATTGACAAGATAAACTAAATTTCAAGTTTTGTAATCATGCCTTTAATACAAATTAACCCTAGCTAGTTTTAGTTTTTACGTCTCTTAGTCATTGTTCTTGTGGGAAAGGGATCCGCTTCGGATCCCTTCTTCTTAATTCACCAAACGTGTCATTTAAATTTGATCTAACGAAGTTATTATAACTTTTAAAATGGATTTATGTTTATAGTTGTTGGATCAAATTTCAATGGCAGAGAATTCCTGATTTAGTGAATTATGAGGAAGGGATCTAGAGGAAATCCCTTTCCGTTCTTGTGCAACAAGTAAACTGCATTCTTTTGTTCCCTTGATCACTCATTGCACATGCAAGGGTTTTTTTTTTATTTTATAAATGTCACATATCACATTTTGTAGACAATATTTTTACCTCTTTTCTGATAAAAGGCTTGTGATTAGTTGGCACAAAAGTAGTACTAAATGTAATCTCTTTTAGAATGGAAAGGGATCATCTCCAAATCATTTCTTTCTAATCCATCAAATTAGAAAATTTGTATCATTAAAAATTGATCCAACGGTTAAAGTTATTATAACTTTTAAAATGGGCTCATGTTTGTAGCAGTTGGATCAAATTTCAATTGCACGGATTTCTTGATTTGATGGATTAGGAAGAAGGGATATGGAGATCCCTGTCCCTTTGGAATTACAGGGGTGGATTGTCTGCCCTACTGTGATATGTGGTCACAGTTAAGCCATGTCAACATTTTATATTAATTTTTTTATAGAAATAATAAAAAAAAGTAATAAGAATGTAAAATGTTGACGTGGCTTAACCGTGACCACACAAACAGGAGGGCATGAGGAGTATGAAAATGGGAGGGCAGACAATCCAACTTTTTCGAATTACACCCTCTGCCACGCCCAACAAATAAAGAATTTGGTTTCATCGGGATCCAAATGGTGAGGATCTTAGGGATCCTCACGTTTTAGTAATTTATTGTGCATCGTATGATCATAAATTATTTGATTTTTTAATTTAAAATTCAATAAAATTGTACCTGACGAAAACTGATCACACGATATACGATGAATGACTAGAATGTAGAAATGTTTAGGATCTCCACAACGTGGATCTGGAGAGGTTCCTCTTCCACAAATAAATAGCAAATCCTATCAAAAAAGAAACAAAAGTAAGGGAACAGGATCCTCTCTGAATTCACTTTGTGGGGATTCGTTGTTCATCATATATTGTGCAGTTAGTTTTCTTCAGGTACTATTTGTGTTTAATTTTAAATAAAAAAAAGTTAAATGATTTCTAACTGCATGGTACACGATTGATGATTAAGATGTAACGATTCTTAGAATTCCCACAATTTGGATCCGGGTAGGATCCAAATCCAAAAATAAGGGTATGGGAAATTATTTAAGGAACAATAATGAAAAGAATTTGAAAACTATAAGTTTTAATTAAAAAAATAAAAAAATATTGTAAGTAAATAGTATCACGAATGATTTTTTAAAATAAAAATATTATTTTCGTTAAAATTCTCTATTATTTAACATTAATTCATTTTTGACTGAACGTGTCCTAAGAAAATAATAAATGTCTACAGGATAGGTGTACTTTGTACCATCCGGTGCTTATACGCATATTTTTTAATAATTTATTAAATCTGATAAATAAAAATAAAGGAACGTGAGAGGATAATAGAAGTATTAAATCTGCTGTAATGATTTAATTGAACTAAAAAAAATTATATGCATTCGAAAAGGAGTTTGATTATATAGTTCCTGTTCCCGTATTATTCATTTTCATTTTGTCTTTAGTTTAGGTTCTTTATTCAATATTTCTCCAAATTTATATGCGTGAAAATACTAATATTTTTTCACTTGAATCTTTTAGATATTTCTTTTTTTATTCTATAATATTATTTTATGATGTGAACTATCTTTTTTTTATATCACGCTTTAAATCCACGTTCATAAAAGTTAACCAAATTAGAATTATTCGATTAACATTGTCAAAATCAAATGTGTTTTCTATTTATTGAAAATCACTATATGACTAAATAATTTTGGTACACTTTATTTTTTATAATAATATTTAATAAGTGATCTAAAAAGTAGACCATTTTGTTAAAAAAAAAAAAGAGAGACGATTTTAATCATTTTGCAACATTATTTTTATTTTTAGTTCAAGTACAATATTCATCAAGTGAGAGGAAATAGGTATAGAAAAAAGAATAAAGTGTTAACATTGGGTCTCAATAAAAATTTTGTGAAAAATTTTAGTGAAGTGTTATTGGCATTTCAAAAATCTTATTCTATACTCCTCACAAGTGTATTTTTCTTGTTAAATATAAATAATTTGAAATATAAAATAAAAAATTTGAAATGTCAATAAAAATTCATAAATTTTAACCTTACATGAAATTTGAATGCAAAATAAAAAATTAAAAAAAACAACAGTATTCCGCACCAAATTGTTAAATGAAAAAGAGAACTGAAAATCTATAAACGAGAAGGTTGGTTCCTGGTAGCATTTATCAATGATCGTTTCGTGTCCAATGAGTAAACATATAAGTAACAAAAACATCATTTCACTGCAAATTGAGAAGATCTTCCATCAGTCATACAGTCTCTACTTTTGACATCAGAGGCCGTGATCCACGAGTAGGTCTGTGTTCTCAGATCGTAGACTTTTGACTTAATTGGACTTAACAGCGGTGAAGTCTACCGCCATTTTCTGTGATTATCTCCTTCAGATTTCTTCTCCAGAAATAAAACATATAAAGTAAAATGATGACAGGTTGAATCTGAATCCACTTTACTATTGAAAATTTTTATGTCATATTAATTGCATATTATAGAACAGGTTTAGGAATTAGGGTTTTGGAATTCTTTTTCTTTCAAGTTATGAAAGGGAAAAACCCAGGACTTCAAACCTGACGAAGGTTAGGGTGAAGAAGATAAAGTCGAAGAGGACGACAAGATATGTTCCGAAGGTACGGATGTAAAAGAAGACGAAGAGGTAGGCAAGCTCTTTTGCGCCTAAGCTCATGGGCCGTGAAGAGAAATCAAAATCTTAATTTACTACTTATGAATGTAAGGGGGTGTATTTAATTAGGATTTAGAGAGATTTTAATTTTTTTATGAATTTAAGTATATTCAATAAGAATTTTAAATAATTCTTTAAAATATTTAATGTGTATTTAATTAGGATTTTAAGATAGTTTATTAAAATATTTAGAAATCTGAGTGTATTTAATTAGAATTTTATAACATTTTAGGTGTATGCAATTAGAATTTGATTTTAAATAACTTGATAATTGAGAAATTAGAGAGAATTCAAGAGATTTTGTAGGGTATTTTAAACATCCAACAAATATCACGTATCCCCATGAAATTTCAAAGAAATTTAATCAAAATTTTACATAAATCAATTAGAGTCATTAAATTCCATAAAAATCTATGAATTTATATCTCTGTTAAAATCTCTCATAAGCCCCAAATTGCATTCACCCTCTAAATGTATTTCTTTCAAAAAAATTTAAATTTAAATTTAACTACACCTAATTTCTTTCAAATTAAAAAAAAAATATTTAAAAATTATAATTGACTACTTCTTAATTTTAAAATCTACTAAAATTTTATCAAATTCTAATAGAGACAGATTGTTTGCTCTCCTGTTTGGGTATCTTTCCCATCATCTTCTATTTTATGTGGTCACAGTTAAGACGCATCAATATTTTTTATTAATTTTTTATAGAGATAATAAGATAAAAAATAATAATAATATAAAATATTAACGTAACTTAACTGTGATCGTACAAATAAAAGAAGATGAAAATGACATCCAAACACAAGGGCATACAATCTGCATCCAATTCTAATTGGACTACAAATTCTAATCTGATGAACATCAATACAGTACTGCATCATTACAGTACAGTGATCGGTACCCACAAAGGGTTATTACTTTTTCATTTTTCTCCGTGATATTTTCTATCAATCACATCCCACCTTGGGCACAACAAAATAAGAAAACTTCAGCAAAACGAGGGTAATCAATCGTCATCGTACAACCCCTCGTCAATGGCAACTTCCAATTTCAGTGTGAGCATCCAGCTCTTCATCGACACAAACCGTAAGAAAGTTTTGTTCGCAGAAGCCGGCAAAGACTTCGTCGACCTTCTATTCGGCCTCCTCTCTCTGAGCGATGGCGCCGTCATTAAGTTGCTGTCCGGGCACGGCATGGTTCGGTGTCTAGATAAAATTTACGGCAGCCTCGAAAACTTGAGCCCGAAATACACTCTCCCGAATCTCGACAAGAATATCTTGCTACTGCACCCTTGTGTGGAGGAAGGGTATGTGAGGGACTTCACATACATGGTCATGGATGATCTGGAAGTAAAGCCTTTGTCTACAGTTTCCATCCTTGACGTGCTGATCAAGTCCGGTGTAAAGGATGTTGGTAAGCTTGATGTGGTGGTGGTTCACCTTGGCTGGCAAGAGGTCTGGGTTTAGAATTAGGGTTTCCTCATCTTCTCCTTTTATAGTTCTCTGAGCTTTATGAATTATTTTTTAATTAATGTTTTGTTTTTGTTTTTGTTGTGAATTAGGGTGTGGAATTGCTGAGAGGGTCGTTGTTATCGAACACAAATCTAACCGGTTTGTTCCTTGGTGAAGAGGTTTGACAGTCTCAAGTAGTTTTGGAAGTGAAGCGTCAATCTGAGAATCTGAGACTTGTGTGAATGTGATGTTTGTTTTTTGTATTGGTGGCATCTTGTTTTCCTTTCCATATGTGGTTGGATTTGCAGGTCCTACCGACTATCCTCCTTGTCAAATTAATGGGTAATGATGTATTAAGTAATTTGAGTTTCAGACTTTATTTTTATTTTTATTTTTGTCTGCGAAAAGTTTGAGACCTTTATTAGTTGCTCCTTTTTAATGTTCAAACTATGTCAAAAAAATTCTGAGATTAAGGTCTTGTAACAATCTTTGTTGAACCTGTAAAAGATCTCAATAGGTGTTCTTATTACGCTCTTCCTTTTTTAACTTTTTACGAATAAGTGCGAGGCCACTGCTATTTACTTTTTAGACAGCACTTATCGACAAGATGATTAGAAATTTTTAGGGTCTAGCTATAATACTTACAAATATGTGGTATAATTGTGTTTTTATGGTCATAATAGTTCTTGGATGTCGTTACAGTATTTGACTGTCAAATGTGATTGTACTAAGAGCTGGCTTGGTATTACTGTGCTTTGAAAAAAAGTTGTTTCTGCTGTGTTGTAAGAATAAGCAGCTGTGAAATAAAGCAGTAAAGTGTTTGGTAAACTTTTTTGTAAAAGTGCTTTTGAAAAAAAAAAACAGTATTATAGTGTTTGGTAAACTTTTATGTAAAACATATGTGAAAAAATGCCGGTTTTTCAAAGCTAGGTTTTGCAGCTTCTTGTTTTTGACTTTTTTTCACTTAAAACTGTAAAAAAAAACTAAAGCTGAATGTTTACCAAACACAAAAACAGTTCCTAGCTTTTTTTTATATCAGTTTTTTTCATAATCATCTCAGTACCAAATCAGGCCTAAGTGTATGTAAGTGTTGTAGTCAAACCTCATTGGATAAATGATACTATTGCAGTAGTGTTAGAGATTTCATTATAAAATCAATTGAATATATGGGCTCAACTATTTACAACAACAAATTCTCTTTTCCATGTAAGACTTATACCCTCAATATATTTTCACATGGGATGAAATTTCAAGCTTAATATATGCAAGTGCGGCATTCACAAATTGAAGAAGCAACTTATACTGTAAAAGAAATTGGGGTTACACTATAAAAATCAATAAGCAATAAGCAATATAAAAAGTAGTTTAACTATTTGTAAGCGTATTCCGTTCTTACCTAACCTGGATTCATATTTTCAACATATTTTCTCATGTGCGATGGATGCTCAAATCTAACAGCAAACAACAAAAATTTAATGGTGTGTAACATGTGGTCGTTAGATTTTATACTTTCAATATGTCACTATGCCAAATACTCAATCACTCTTATAGTCTTAACATCTTTGGGAAGCATGGTGATCATCGTGACCAGTGTAAATGTCATGAACCAGAAAATTTAATTCACGAGGGTAATATTATTCACACATTTTTTTTTATTTTTTATATTTTTATTCATTAATTTTTTTTTCAATTAATTCGATTTGATGTTCAAAAATTAAAAAAATATGTGATAAATAAAAAATTGTGTGAATAGAACCTCCCATTCACATATTCTTGTTAGCGAAAACGACTAACACCTTGTTCTCCACTTTCGAAATGTAGCCGGAAGCCGCGACAGGGCAAGGTAGAGGGTAGAGTAGGATCGTTGAGTGAAGGCTAGACTTTAGAGACAGAGAGATAAGGGTCAATGAGAGAGTGAGTGACTGTTGTTGAGCAAGAATGAGGATTCTCGGGATCCTTTTTTAAAGATCTATAATCCTCAAATTATGTCTGTTCATCGCAAATCGTGTGATCAGAAATTATTTTAAATATTTTTATTTAAAATTAAATATAAATAATATCTGACAAAAATTAGTCTTATAATGTACGATAAACGAACATAATTTAAAGATTTTCAGAATCCTTACAAAGAAAATCCGAATATGATCCTTATTCGTTGAGGAAGAACCCTAGAGAGGGTCGTTACTGCTGCGTAGCAGTAAAGAATAACGGTGGTTTTAAAAGTGGGCCTAGAGTTGAGCCCGCTTGTTTCTTTTTTGGTGAAAGAGCCCATCGAAGCAAAAGGGTAGTTACAAATACAGAGAGAACCGACTTGCAGAGCAATTATATTTTCATCAACATCTACTCCACACCAAAAACAAAAAAAAAAAACACCCTACTCCCCCCTTTCTCTGCCGCAAGCTTCCCTTCCTCTCTCGGTAAAAATCTATCTCTCTCTCTCTCTCTCTGAAGTTTTAGTTTAATACTTTATGCTTTTTTATTCTAACGGAAGACGCAACACATAATCGAGTGCAATGTCGTTCTAAGATTCATATAATTGACGAAAATGTTTTGTTGTTGTTGTTGTACTTTATGCTTTGTTATTCAAAAAGCAGAAGAAGGAAATATTGACGAAGCTAGTTTCTTGAACTAAATGTTGATCTGCATTATTTATCATTTGATTAGGCTGCTTAGTTCAGAAGAAAAAGGTCACTGATTCCTTCAAACAAATAAGCATACGTGGTTATTCTCTGAAATTAGTTGTTTCCACGACTCGAACTCAGAGTCTTTTTTGTCACAAAGGAGCAACCTTTTCGGTTGCTCCAAGAGTTGAGTCCCTTTAGGTTTGTATAATCTGTACCAGCAAAAAAAATTTAAAAGAATTCCATTGTATTTCGGTTAATCTCTCATTAGTAAGAGTGTATGCCTAAAGGTGGCTCCTTTAACATTGGATTGTAGCAATAGCTCGGTTTATTTATGAATTTGAATATTTAGTTTATGCCTACAGGTCTTAATGTTCTGAAATTCGATTTTAACTGCATCAATGGCAACTACCACTGTGAGCTTGAAGCTCTTGATTGATACAAAGGGCCACAGAGTTCTGTTTGCCGAAGCCGGCAAGGACTTTGTGGATTTCCTTTTCACCCTTCTGTCTCTGCCGGTTGGAACTGTCATTAGGCTCCTCTCTAAGGACAACATGGTTGGTAGCTTAGGCCGACTTTACGACAGTGTCGAAAATCTTAATGACACATACATGCTTCCCAATCTCAACAAGGACACTCTGCTGAAACCCACGTCCCCCATTGGCTGCGCTAATGTCCCACATTTGCTTACAAGTGATAGATCAACGGTAAAAAAGGTGTACATGTGTGGGAGCTACCACCGGTACGTGGCTGATGACCCTAGGGCCGTTTGTCCACAGTGCAGATATACTATATCTATCGAGGTGCCTTATGTTGCTGCTCCAGCTACCGCTGAAGGATCGTCTGGTGGCGGAGCAGGTTTTGTGAAAGATATTGTGACATACATGATTATGGATAATTTGGAAGTGAAGCCGATGTCCACCATATCATGTATTGCTATGCTCAACAAGTTCAACGTTACGGAGGTTGGCGCGCTTGAAGAGAAGGTTGTTCATATGGGCATGGACGAGGTGTGATATCCTAAATTTCTCTCCCATTTTTGAATGTGAATTCTCTACGCATCTTGAATTCAACATTTTAGCGTATTATTTCTGTTTTCGTTGCCTTTCATATTGAGTGCATTGACATAAGCAGTCTGATTTTGTTCTTGAAAGGCATAGAAAACGGAATTTGTATCTCATAGGATTGGTTTTTATGCTGTTTTATAGGAAGAGTTTGATGAAACTATGCCTTTCCAAACATACGTATTAATAGAAAACGCTACTTTTCATCTTTTAATCAAGTAGTTTCTAAATCATTTCAACCTACGTTGAGAGAACTGCTTTACATTCTTGTTTCGATCTTTTAGCCTTTTCGTTTCTTTTCTGTTTTGGATTTGAATTGGGAGGCATGTCATAAGGTTAATGGATGTCTTGATCTCAATCAAGTAATGCACTTTCTACTCTACACACCTGATCAACAACGATAACCATCATACGTTTTTCTGTAGGCTTGTAATCTGGCTAATGTGCCGCAGTTCTTGTGTTTTGTTTATCGAAAGTAGTGTTCTTTTTGCAAAATGATCATTTTCTTTTGAATAATTCTCAGGGGCTGAAGCTGCTGAAGGCATCATTGGAATCAAACAATGTTCTCTCCAATGTCTTCCTTTGTAAGAAAGAGGAGTAAACACGTCAACTTTGCGCTTGGTCCAGAGCGTATATGGCGTTTTGGAGCTTAAACGAAGTAGTAGTGACGAAATATCTAGCCAAACCTTCTATGTAATCGGTTGTAGATCGACTTAATCAACGTTACCGTGCTTCTTTTCAAGGGGCGTTTTCTGTTGAGGTGGATGACCTGAGTTTAGCTAAAACCGCATTAGAAATTGCTGAAGTTGTGTGGCTATAACTCTCCCCTATTGCATATCTAGGCAGGTTCTTTGACTGATTTGGTACACCTTTTCTTCTGTTGGATGAATCGTTTCTTCTTGTTTGTTACCTTCATACAAATATGCTGCTGAAACTTAGAAACGTGCTAACTTCCAAATTTTGTTCGAGTTAGAAGATAGAACGTGAATTAATTAAGGGTTAAGTTCCTTTGTGGCTGCTTCGTGTTCTACCTTTAACTCGAACAAAATTTAGAGTTGGCATCCATTCTTCATTCAACATATGAAATGATCCTAGACGCCAAACGATGCCCTGGTATTGATTGAATTCTTCACAAAGAAGTTTCTTGTAAAATAATATGTTTCTATTCTAAAAGCAACTTAATATTTGTAATACATAATATGAGATAATATGAAACTTATTACCCTTGGGAGCGAGGGCAAATGTATATTGGGACCAAAGCGGTCTCAGAACAGTTCGGAAATCGGGAAACACGCATGTTAAGGTCTTCTGGAGGCTCTCTAAAAGTTTGGTGTGGGTCCCATTTGTGCCACGTGGTGCTTAATATAATGTCAATTTCCATCTAAGAAACTTAGACTTTTAAGCTTCGGACCTCAAAGTTTGAATCTTAAATCTGCCACTGTCTCAGAGTATGAACAAATCTCACATTAGATCCTTAACCAATGATGTTGTGTATCACTGCCGTTAATTTTGTATATAAACTATCAAAACATTCACCTCTTACGTGTCAAAAACTTAGAGAAGCCACGTAAGATCCATAACGTTACTGGTTTTTTTTTTTATTTTTTTTTATTGGAAACTCCATAACGTCATTAGTTTTGAAAAAATTTATTGACAGATTTGACGATGAAGAGCAAATACGCAGAAGATTGATCAAAAGGGAAAAGTGGATTATTATGACTTCAAGGGGCAAAGTAGAATTTTAAAATAGTTTCAGGGCGCTACTATAATAACGAAGCCTTATCACAACAAAAACCCTAAATACCAATTTGTATAAAAATGGGCCCAATCGAGGCCCAATAACTCTATTTAAAGTAAGGACCCCAAACCCAAAAGCCCAATAACGAAAGAAGGGCACTCGGAGTAAATAAAATAAAGTAGCTATATAAAGGGTTGAGATTCGTCTTCTCCGCTAGAAAACCCTACAACTCGGCCGCAGCTGCTCTTCGTCTACAGGTACTTCTTCCAAGCTCCCCCTCCTCTTACCGCTGTCTGTTAACCCTAGGGAAATTTTCTAACCAGATACCTCCATTGACGAAGCTTAAACGAGTTAGAGTTGCACTTAAGACTCTGGATTTAGCCTAATTTTTTGTTAATTAGTTTTGTAGATTTTTTCTCGTTTGTTGTGAGTCTCTGGTTTTTGTGCGTTTTGGTTAATTTTGTACTTATTGTCTGTTTACGAAATGGTGGTCAGGTAGGATTGTTTCCCGCAGAGCTTGGAGCAATGGCCCCTGCTAAAGGTACTTCCTTTCTCATACAACAGATATACATATATATTGTTAACTAGCCAGAAAGGGAAAAGGAATTAATGGGTTTAATTGATGTAGTCGATTATATTGTGGAAAATGGTTTTTGGGAAAAATGAATTAATTGGTTCTAATGGCTGTATTTGATTACGTTGTGAAAATTTGTTTATTTGATTCCGTGAACCCTTATCTTGTGCCTTGTATATGTCATCTCGTTTGACTTTGATAGACAATCTACTCGTAGGTGTATGTCTTTTCCAATTTGTGTTTAAAACGGGCAATTTCGCAAGTCAGTGGCATAATTGAATGCCATTTTGTGTTGTTATCTTCAATGTATGAGGTGAAATTTTGTTTTGTTTTGAGCTTCTATTATTCAAGTGTTGCGTAACTTTTCTTTTGAGTGTTATTACTTGTTTGTGAAACTTGCGGAATAGGATTTGTTCACCTCTTAATTAAGCTATTGGTTGCTGCCAAGAATGCCAGAACGGAATTGTAACCATGTTTTTTCGTTAAATTGTAGTTCCAGTCCACGAACATCTAAGTTATAGGCGTACAATTTCACATGATTTGTTATGCATCCTTAATTGTAATATGATTCTGCATGCAGTTGACGGCAAGAAGAAGGATCCCAAGGCCCAGGCCTTGAAGACTGCCAAGGCTGTGAAATCAGGCCCTGCTTTCAAGAAGAAGGCCAAGAAGATCAGGACATCGGTCACATTCCACAGGCCAAGGACATTGAAGCAGGAAAGGAACCCCAAGTATCCCCGCATCAGTGCAACACCAAGAAACAAGTTGGACCACTATCAAATTCTCAAGTATCCATTGACCACCGAGTCTGCAATGAAAAAGATTGAGGACAACAACACACTCGTCTTCATTGTTGACATCCGAGCTGATAAGAAGAAGATCAAGGATGCAGTGAAGAAGATGTACGACATTCAGACCAAGAAAGTGAACACCTTGATCAGGTATATGTTATGGATGTATACACGTTTTACAGCGTCGAGGTTTCATTCTGACGTGCCGGTCAATGTTTTTGTATGCATATCTGTTTCATCGATGTTTTTTGTTTGCATACCTGTGTTATAGTAAGTTCGTAAACAAATTTTCCTTCTGGAACCAAGAAGTTCTTTTTGCAGCTTAATTGAGGATTTCGCCAAGCTTAATCTAACATATGACCTGTGTTGTGCAGGCCTGATGGAACGAAGAAGGCTTACGTCAGGTTGACACCGGACTACGATGCCTTGGATGTTGCCAACAAGATCGGAATCATTTAAGTTAATGTTGTATCGTCTTTTATCCGGTTTCAAGAGATTCCATTGTTGCTATGACAGTTTTGTTACTAGTTGCACTGTATCAGTACTCCTGCATTAGTTTGGTTTTCTTTAATTTGTATTGGGAGCTATATTTGCTTTTTATGGCAATGCGATGCGTTTAAAACTTAGTGCAATGTGCCAATGGTGTAATCCAGTCTTCTACAATATGGTTATTTGCTTTCGTGTTAATGCAACCGAAGTTGAGGTCTTATTTTGTGATCGATAGTGGGAGAGAGATTCAAACTCGGAATTTGTTCTGGGAAGACAGGTCGCGTTCGAGAACGTGGGGACATTAACAAATCTTTTCATATATGAATGATTATATTTCTTCACAAGAAGAGCAAGGATTCTCCCCTTCTCCTACCCTCTCAAAATGCAAAATTAAAAGAAAAATTGGAAGGGAAAAAGAGAAGAAAGCAAAAGAAAACTGTTGAATGAGCAGATACACAAGTGTTGACTAGAGTTTGGCCTCGTATCAGTATTGACGTGAGCCGTTCCTCTATCGAATTGTTAATCGTAGACTTTGAAAAGCTTGAAGGAATCGACGATGGTGTGTAACTTGTCTTTCATCTTGTCCCACCTCCTCTCGTTAGCCCCTGTCGTCAACGTGTAGAAGTTGCCTGCATTGCGATGCAAGTCATAACCAGAAACACAAAATACTTATACCTGCTACCTAGCTATGAAGTGGAATAAGAAGCATTATATAGAAAGGTTGCATTTCACAGTTCCGTACCATTGCCGATAGCTACTGTGCTGAGAGCGTGGCGAGTAAAGTTTGGAGCCTTAGCAATGAACTCAAATGTGTAATATGTTTTCCCATCGATGTCATGCTGCACCATAGAAACAAAAGCAACAAGTCAACACAAAGCACATATCACAGCAGATTCAGTTCCATCTAAGAAGGTAGCTAGTGCATCTGCATCGCTGTTTTATGCAACACCGATTGATGAATCCAGCAGCTTTATCAAACAGAATGCCATACGATACTACTGAATGCCTAGGTAGGATGTTTGAATCGTTGATTTGCAGTTTTGTCGTAATTTTACGTATGTATTATCAGTAAACTTCATTGTTTTAAGTAGCTGAGTCTCCCTCTTACTGAAAGCACGGAGAAGTTGAACTGAATGCCTTATGCCAATGTTTGACGCACTAAAAAACAACATGTAACAAACCTCTACTGCCTCAATCAGCTTTGTTTTCTGGGTAGGAGGAGCGAGAACCTTCTTGATCAAAGTTTCAGCCACCTGTTGTGGGGACCCGAATTCTTTGATGTCTTGCTTGACGGTTGGGAACAGAGTCACACTTGCAGTCTCTAACGGCTCGATGACATCCTTGAATACCTTGTCTTGACCTTCAATGGTTACTTCCTGTCCGCACCTCGGGCAAAAAACCCATCAAAAAAATGGGCGCAATAGCAAAGGATCAAGCACATAAGCCCGAGGCTGATGAAACACAAAAAACTCTCACCTGCCATCCAAAAGGGTAGACAAATTCGTATCCGTCTTTCTTGTCCGTGACAGGCAGAAATCCCTTGATATTTTCTGCAGCAACTGAGCCATATCAAAAGTGTTCTTTTAGGATATCGGTCAATATTAATCAAAGTAAAGCAACTCACTTCACATTACGCACATCGTTGCTACTTAAAACACTGTCTCCGATTCAATGTGACATCTAGAAAACTTAGTACTACAACGCTAAACTTAAAAGGTAAAGTGCAGAACAGTCGAAACCGTTATAATTCCTTACATGATACAGAATGTTGGTTAGTTAGAAGAGCCCAAGAAGCAATTGTTCCTGCTGCTAGCACTTGGCGTCTCCCGGATCTATCTGCCAAAGATGAACACCCAACTAGATGGAAACCCAAAAGTGAAAATTGATGAGTCTAGAGGCGGTCTAGCGGCTCACTACTGAATTAACATTGCTAACATTCATTACTTTTTGTATTTCATTTTGTTAAGTTTTCGCCGCGGGATTTTAACATTCTCCAGCACCAATATCATTAATCAACCAGAAATTGATGAGTGATTACAAATTTACGAGAGGGCAGTAAAAACTAACAATGCAGGTTGATTTCTACAAAGAGAGTAAAATTAGAAAGCAAGAAAGGACCTTGAGAAGGAAAGAATGTAGAAGTTGCTGAAGCCTGCTCTGCTCTTACCAAAAAGGAATTGCTTTTTCTACAGCAATGGTATGTGTTTTGCTTGTGTAACTGATTGCCACCCAGGTGAAAAAAGAGAGTAAATTTAAACACAGGCATTGAATTTTGGAGGGTTACAGCAGAAAAAGGAGAGGGAGAGGGAGAGAGAGAGAGAGAGAGAGTACCTTGGTGAAGGAGTTGAGGACAGGGGTCCTGTGGAGGGAGGGTGAGTTCTGCAGGGTCGCCATTGTTAGTGGTTTTTGGTGTTTGTGAACAAAAGTGGACTCAGTGTGTGTTTGTGTGGATTCTTGTGGCGATGACCTTATCTATTTCCTTCCTTGTTTAGACGACTTATCCGTTAGGCTTTTTATACGAAACACTTACATTGGTTGTTGTTCGTTATGTCTTTTCTTGCCACGTCAAAAAGAAAAAAACCCTTATTAGTCGAAAAACTTAAAGTTAGATCATTTGATCACGTGTCTAGTTAAGCATTCTCACAAGTGAAATTTCTGTTTATTGGTAATTATACCTATATGAAGTTGGAAGAACTCAAATATAACGTTCTTTGTGAAAATGGTTTGATCAATTATGTAGTGAGTCTGATCTACTCAAATTTTATTTATTTATTAGGTAAATTACTATTTACCACCTCAGGTTTGAGGTTTATTACAATCTCATACAATATCTTCAAAACATTTCAATTTCATACCTCACGTACTAGTTTATTTCAATATAATACATCTGTTACATTTTCCATCCATTGATCCGTTAAGAGCTGACATGACGGCCACATTTTGTGCCACGTGGCTGCCAAATGTGTGCCACGTGGCAAAAAAAATAATTTTTATTCGTTTAAAATATTATAATAATTTACCCTTTTTCAAAAAAAAAAAAAAAAAAAAAAAAACCAAACAAACCCAGAAACCCATCTTCTCCCTCCCATCCCGACCCCCTCTCACCTTCACCGAGCCCAAACCCCTCCACCTCTGATGCTCTTCACCGCCACCATGTCCAACCTTCTCCTCCTCACACTCCTCCTCCACCTACTCACTACAACCGGGGCCCACTCCGACCACCCTCCATTCTCTCTCCCCAGAGACCCACTATCTTCACCACTTATTCGGGCCCAATCGGGACTCCCAAACCCCGTCACATAACCCTTCACATCAAATCTGAAACAAACCCACCAACCCATAAACCAATTCAGAAAGAATCACAAAAAAAAGAAAGAAAAAATTGCAAGTAAATGCAAAATAACGAGAGAGAGAGATGTCAGAGATAGCGAAGGAGAGGGAGGTGAGTAGCAGCGGGGGGAGGGGGCTGAGGGAAGGAAGGAGTTAGAAGCGAGGCTCTATAAAAGGTTCGAACAAAAGGATTTGGGTTCCAGTTAGGCATCGTCTTCGGCGGTGGGTTTTGGCCAGGGAAGGGGAGATGAATAGAGTGGAGAAGGGAGAAGGTGGGTTGGGAAGGTGAAGAGGGAGGAGTGGTCTGGGGGCTGCTGTCACATCTCGGCCCGGGGCGGATCACTTCCTGGGCCCGCTCCACCACTGTAGCACGATATTGTCCACTTTGGGCTCCGACCACGCCCTCACGGTTTTGTTTTTGGGAACTAATGAGCAACTTCCCAATGGGTCACCCATCATGGGATTGCTCTAGCCCCATTCTCGCTTAACTTCGGAGTTCCTACGGAACCCGAAGCCAGTGAGCTCCCAAAAGGCCTCATGCTAGGTAGGGATGTGAATATACATTTAAGGATCACTCCCCTGGGCGATGTGGGATGTCACACTGCGATGGTGATGGGGAAGGGCTGCGGTGGTGATGGGAGGAGAGGGAGGTGCGAGAAGGTTTCTGGGTTTGTTTGCAGGGGGTGGGGGGTTGCTTGGAGGTGGGTTTCAATTTGTTTTTTTTTTTTTTTATTTTAAGGGTAAATTATTATAATATTTTAAATGAATAAAAAAAAAAATTTGCCATGTGGCACACATTTGGCAGTCATGTGACACAAATGTGGCCGCCACGTCAGCTCTTAACGGATCAATGGATAGAAAATGTAACGGATATATTATATTGAAATAAAATAGTGCGTGAGGTATGAAAGTAAAATGTTTTAAAGATGTTGTATGAGATTGTAATAAACTTTAAACCTGATGTGTTAAAGTGTAATTTACCCTTATTTATTTGAGTGGGAAAACTTAAGTAGGGCAATTAACTTCACTTAGGGGGATGTATTTAATTGAGAATTTGAGAGACTTTAATGGATTTATAAATCCATGGATTTTTATGGAGTTTAATAGATTTGTAGAGATTCCATTAAAACTTTGATTCAATTCGCTCGAAATCTTATGGGAAGATGTGAGATTTGTGGATGTTTAAAATACATTACAAAATCTCTCCATTTCCCTCTAATTCCTCAACTTTCTCCAATTCTTTAAAATCAATTTCTAATTAAATACACCTGGAATGTTATAAACTTCTTTAAAATCATAATTGAATACACCCAGATTTCTAAGGATTTTAATAAACTATCTTAAAATTTTAATTGAATAAACCTTTAATTTCAGAGAATCACTTAAAATCTTAATTGAATACCCCTAGATTCATTAAAATAATTAAAATCCCTAAAAATCTCAATTGAATACACTCCCCTTAGTTTGACTTTACTCTTTCTCACACACACAACCCTCTTGTATTTTGGTTCATTGGGCCCTTAAGTCTTTGCCTTTAGCAACATAACTGGTTGTTGGATAGTTGAATAAGCATGATAACAAGACGCTCTTACCAGTAGTTGTTTTTTGCTAGAGATAGATAACATGAAAAAACAATTTTGATATCAGTCAAAATATAATATATCATTCGTGTGTTAGCTCAAGTGAAGATGGAGATTAGAACAATAAAATGGTCCAAAATTCCTTCCAAACGAGAAAAACCAAGAAATTATTGAGGGGAGCTATCATGCTTATAAAAGATGAAACCAATATACAGAGTTACACTACATTAAATGTAGAGTCGTATATAGCAGCCGTACATTAGAATTCGACTTAAAAAAACCCTCATTAAGTCTAAATATTTTCTTCTTCCTTTTCTTGTTAAAAATATTGTGTTAAGCGAGTATGAGCCAATCTCATTTTGGTTAATCCATTAATAACACGTTACAAACTGAGGGTTATGTTATGTGGGTTGTGATAAGTGAATTATGACTAGATAGACAATCACGTGGTTTCTTGTGTAAGAAACAATTATCATTGCTCTCTTCTTTCATAAATCAATAAATCATGTCCATCTTTTTTCCTTTATCTTCAACAAAAGGTTTCCCTTTTTAATGTCACACGATCGCAATAGATTGCGATAATTCTGATCAGTTTAAATATGGTTTCTTGATTAATCAATATCATATATAAACTTATGAGGATAATTTAAAGATGCCATTTGGCATTACGGTTTATTAATATATATTTTTACTTATAAGTGTAATGTATTATGTTTGACTCTTGTGAACGACGAGTTTGTAACCAAATTATTAGCTTGATCCTTATTCCATAAACCGATTGTTGATTGATCTGATCGAACCTCAAACCGTCAAACACGCGAGAGCCCAGCTCGAAAGGAATGCATGGTTTGTATTGTCTTGCACCTAGTTTCTCACTAGATATTAGGTGCTTCAATTAGTTTGAAAATTTTATACAAACTTGTCGTTGTCATGGTTATTGGTTGCTTGTACTTTTATTAGACACTAGAGAAGCTAGATGTGATGTGAGATGTGATGTGAGGTTAGATTAATTTATAGTAAAATAGTCTTTGTATAAAACTTTCTTAGGATTCAGTAAACACAAAAACTATTATTTCATCATAATTTGCGCAATTTAATACTAAGCTGACCTAATTGAATTCTTTGTGAAAAGTTAGTTTGATTTGGTAAACCTACTTACATTAATTTAATTGAGTGCTACACGAAGAGAGTTGCAATACAAGAATAGTTTGGATGAACTACTCGAAACCACAAGAACATGAAAAAAAATATATACTTAATCACGGTGGTACCGACAATTGTTAATATTGATAAAAAAAAAACACTTTAATACACAAAGTATATACCCTTGTTAAATAACTGTTTATTTCATGTACAATAAACAGTAGTGCGCATGAGAAAGACAGGAAGAGAAGGACCATGAAGTGAGGGAAGGGCCATGAGATGATGGGGTGTGAGGATGAACGAGAAGAGGAAGGAGGAAGGTTGGAGGAGGGGAGAGAGATCCTACCATCGGCCCCAAATTGGAACAAGGAAACGATTGCTATAAAATTTGTAGATTTATAATTTTATATGGAGAAAGAGAGAGAGGGCCAGTAACAATTTATAGAGAACTTTAATGAAAAGCTCTTGGTACTGTTCATTTTAACGAAAAAAATATTTTTACACTAAAAGTCAATCCTGGTACTATTTACTTTACCTTTTATTTTGTCATTTTCATTAAAACACAAAATTTTCAAGTCATTTTCATTAGTTTTCCTCAATTTATATCATTGCATTGTTAACTACACTCTAAACAAGAATCTATACAATTTAGGAGTTGGAAGATTACTTATCAATTTATGCTTTGAAAAATATTAAAGTTATTAGTTGCGTACATTTTAAGTTAATGGGACAAGAGCCAGTTTACCATTATTTATGTGTTCAAATCAAATTAAACACGCTGAAAATCACTTAAATTAGCGGGACAAATTAAAAAAATTTGGAAATTAAGAACATGAAAGATCAATTGCTAAAACAATGTAACATTTAACTTGTCCATGAACATATTTCCTCCAACCATTTTTTCTCTTTGACACAAAAGAAAGAAAGAACGGAAATTAAAATCAATAAAAATAAGGGAGCATAACAGCTTGGCAACATAGCTACAAATGGATTAACAAATGGTATCAACTGGGAAAGCAAATGAAAAAAACAATTGACAAAAAACAGATGAGATGGACTGTCACAAAAGCATAAAGCTCATCCCTTTCCAATTTTTCTCAATCATGTGTTTTTTCTCTGTCCGGCTCTTCACACGCCCACTCAATTATAAGATATATCGCATCCACTGCTATCGTGGCTAGGACCATCTCTTAAATTTCGGTGGCCTGTACCAAATTTATAATAAGGTTTTACCATAATTTAAAAAAATATATAAAATATAGTATATCCATGTTAGAAAGTAATAACTTAAATCAAAACAAATTTTAGGTCTGGTGATATTCATTTTCATTTATAAGTGAGTCTTAGGTTCGATTCTCGAATTTCTCGTCAAAAATGAATTTGAACCCCATTATTGCTAGTTGATTGACTTAGCACATTCTCCCACCCCTTAGTAATGGT